CGGCCCCAGCAGGGCCCCGCCCGCGACGGGCGGGTGAGCCACCAGCAAGGGGGGGCGCCGCGCGGGCCGGCCCGGGCAGGAGAAGCCGCAGCGGTTCCCCCGCGAACCCCGGCGGATGCTCGTGGCCCCGCGGTGCTTTGAGACAGACTCACGGCCTGCGCGCTGAGTCCAATGGGTGAGGTGGGGCAGCGCCCCATAACCCAATTCAGACTACTCTCCCCCGGACACCTTTTTTCCTTTTCCATCCTTCCACCCTCCTTACCTTCCCCTTCCTCCGCCCTCCTACCTTTCCCTCACACCTCAGTACTCCACTCCCACCCCTGTTTATTACTGACTTCCGACACCCCAAACCTGAGGGCCAGCAGAGGGCAACAAAGATCGTTAAGGAGCATCTCGCTTGTGAGGAAAGGCTGAGTGGGTGAAGAGGTAACTGAGAGGGGACTTCATTAAAATAGCTGTGTATAAATACCTAAATGTTAGCAAAGAAAGCTAAAAAGAAATAATGGACTGGACTTCAGGGACCACACGTCATGACAACAATGAGTTATACAAACCAGATGTAATTTTTGTGAAGGAGGAAGGTAGAGGCCTGGGTTCCCACCTGGGTGGCCAAACCCCCCTCCCAGCCTCACAACCCCCATTTAATGACTTTTAAATCCAGAAACCTCCCCCTTATTTTACAACACCCTCCACCAAGCAGGCCCAGCCGCTGCTACCCCATCCAAAATAACCACAAACACCTTTTTTTGTTAAAAAAAAATTCCTGTAATTGGTTTTTGCCATCCGCACCCACCACCTCACAGTGGGTTGGGGTAGCGATGCCGGGAGAGCAGCCTGGGTTGGGTGGGTCGGGCAGCAAGCTGGGAAACACAGAGAGAGAGAGAGAGAGAGGTAGTGTGAGCAATGGGCTGTACCCCAAAATGCTGATTTGCCATCATCAGGATACCTCCACGTGCATCCTCCCTACATTTCATACCCTCCCATCACTGTCCTCACACAATTGATTTACTTATAAAAAGCCCTTATTCCCACGACTGGTATCACCTAAACCCTCCTACCCACAGCAGACCACCTGAAATGTGGCTCCACCCCAAAATCCAGGAGACACCTCCTCCCCAAAGTCAGGAGCCACCCCCACTCAGGGAAAATGCTCTCACCTGAGAGACCTGGGCAGGGTTGAAGAGAGGAATTGAAGCCAATGGTGGGAGAGGTCCGGGGTAGGCAGTCTGGAAGGACAGAAGAGAGAGAAACTTAACAGACACCCAAGCAGAGAGGTGTCCTGGACATCCCGTTACACATGGATACACTTCCCTCCTCACCTGCTGTCCTGTTGACTGCCTTCCATCCCCCTCTGATGAGCCTTTCCCCTCTGCAGACACTGGACTAACAGCAAAGGCACTTTCACCCTGCATTCCTCCTAGGGCCAGCAACCAAAAACAAAAGCCAAATTAAAATTAAGAGGAGGAACTTCTAAAAGGCTGGTGGGGGAGAGAGGTGAGGGGAACCGTGCGGTGTTTACCAGGGTTTCTGGAGAGAGGCTGAGCCAAAGGGTTTGTCCCAGCTGCGAGAGGGGCAATGGATGGGGATGGTGATGTCCGCTCCTGAAATCACATCCACCCATTTAGAGCAGAAGCTCCTTGAGTTGGGAGAAGACCTCTGCACCAGATACCACACCAGGCTTTTGGGGTACCCATTCTGCACCCATCCTGCTGCAGAGGTGCCCCAGGAGCTGCAGGAAACACAGCTAAGGAGGAGCTGCAGGGTCAGGGCAAGCAACTCGGGCACAAAACTAAACCAGCCTGAGGGTTCAAAATTAGGCAGGAGGCTGGACGCCAAGCCCGGGTACAGCCTGAGGGGCCAACATCCATGGGTCCCTGTCTGTTCTTCACCTCCTGCTGGTTTTAGAAGAATATCCCAACAGTTTTTGCTCTGGGACTGTAGGTCATTCTCTACCAGGAAGAAATTTCAGGGGAGGTTCTCGCTCCAAGCCCCACTATCAGGGATGTAATGCCTTGTGGAGCTGGCTAGGTCTGGGATGGCCACGCATGGCTGCTTCCCCCTCGCTGCTGCACTTCCAATTAAAGAGCTTTTTTCCTTCCCTGCATCTCCTAAACCTGCCAGAGCAGTGCCGCTCACAGCTGCTGTGTTCCGCTCCAGCGGAGGGCAAGCGATCCCTGCAGAGTTTGCCAAGGGCTTGGATGACCTCATGGATCAGAGGCGCTATGTGAATTTACAATTATTATTAATCGAGGATTCACTTCCAGGCTAAAAAGGGTTCCCAGTCCTGCTCTGTCCCCACAAAGAATGGCCGTGGCCCCTGCACGAGGACAGAGGGAGAAACAGTGGGAGATGGGGAGGGAGATGTGTCACCCATTCTCACACTGCATGTCACCAGGGACAGGATGGCTTTTTGACCCCTACCTGTGGTCCTGGTGTGGGAGAGTCTGAGTCTGTCTCAGACTCAGCTTTGGGAGAAGTTTCCTTGGTGGGTTTTGACCGAAACCAGCCAAACCACCTGAATCCAGAGCTCTGAGAAATGAAAGAAAAGAATGGAAAGGGATAAGAAGGGGTGGATGCCAGGGTCCTCCAGGTGCCAGCTGGGAGTGGGCACCATTTTTCCAGGGGCAGGGTTGGCATCAGGGACAGGCAAGCTCAGCGCATGAGGCTCATGATGCTCTGAGCTCTGGCATGTTCACCTTGTCCTCCTCTGGCTTCACGGCCTCTGCCCTCTCTTTGGCAGTGTCCTCATCCGCGCTCTCCAAGGACGTCCGGCTGTCCCCCAGGGAGACAGTGGAGGTCTCCGAGACAGTCCGAATCCTGGTTGGTAACTCCTCCTGCCATCAGACATGGAAGCTGCCGCATGCTGTCCCCAACAGGAGCTGCACTGGGCATGGTCAGAGCCCCCCAGGACTGCTCCACACCCCAATTAGTGGAAAGCATCCCTAGGGACCCCCACATGCCTTACACAGCAAGAGCACCCACAGCAGGGCACAGCTTTTGGCACGGTGATGCAGGGATTCCATGCGAGTTCAGTGCATGGGAGGATGGGTCAACACATCCCAGATCCAGCCAGAAAACTCAATGAGATGGTCTCCCTGGCCCCTCTGACTCACCTGCTCTGCAGGGAGGGCTGGCTGCTCCCCTCCAGGGGACAGCCTGCCACCCCAGGGGTCCCCAGCTTCTCCTGTGGAGCAGAGGGAAGGACACGGTCAAGGTCTGATCTGTGGAGCTATGGATTTATCCATCAGAGCTATTTCCAGAGCTTCTACCATGCCCCTCTCCAGAATACAGCCACCCATGTGGTGGCCAAGATGTCCCCCAAGAGATGCAAAAGGCCATTATGGTCCCTGTC